TGGTGGGGCATCCAAGGCAGTCTAGTAGGGCATCCAAGGCAGTCAGGTGGGGTATCAAAGGAAGTCTTGTGGGAAGTACATCCAAGGCTGTCAGGTGGAGCGGATCCAAGCCAGTCAGGTAGGACGCTCCAAGGTCATCATTTGAGTAGTTCTTTTTGCAATAAGCATGATTTCCTGCCTCATAGAATTCTATATTAATATTATGATTGGTTTATTTTTAGATCTAAATTATGTATTCCATATTTGAAGTCTGGTAAGAATCCACACATATTGAATATGAGTTCTCCACTTTCAATGTCGTCAAAGTGGTTCCAGAACCATGTAGGTAAGGCCTGGAATATTGTCACTTGGATTATGATTTTTGAGGTAGAATATAATATATATTGAAATTGCAGCAAGTCATTCAACGGGGCAACTGTAACTATAGAATGTATGAATTATTGTGATCACATTCCTGACACCAAAAGCTCGCGCCAAATATTTATTAGTATAGTGGTCACCAAAATGAAAACTTCACAGCTATTGCCAATGCCAGTTGTTAGTGTTTACTCTGTTATCAGTTCTAATCTATGACTTCATGTATTACCTTTATAGCCTACACAATGGCTAAATATGGGATGTCAATGTGTGTGCTGGGAATGGCTGAAGAATTCAGATCTGATGGTATAGCAGTCAATGCACTCTGGCCAAGAACTGGTAAGAAACTGAAGGTTATTTTTATTATGTAAATGGAATTTCTGTTTATTAGATGATTTGTTAATACAATTTTTTGCAAAGCTTTCTTGTTACAACACATTCCCTCTGTGCTGTCTGGTTAATAAAACTACTTAATGTTTTTCTAGCTATCATAACGTCAGCAATGGAAATGTTAGCTGGTAGTGAAGTTGCAAGTCAATGTCGAAAACCTGAAATCATGGCTGACGCTGCATATGTTGTGTTGACCAAAGATAGCAAGGATTTTACTGGAAATTTCTGCATTGACGATGTTGTGCTGAAAGATGCAGGTGTCACTGACTTTGATGTGTATGCTGTTACACCAGGTAAGGTTTGCTGTATTTAGCTTTGCCTCGAGATCACCTTTGGTATGACCATAACGCCCTTGAGATCACCTTTCATGTGTGCATAAACACCCCTGAGATCACCTTTCATGTGTGCATAAACACCCCTGAGATCACCTTTCATGTGTGCATAAACACCCCTGAGATCACCTTTCATGTGTGCATAAATACCCCTGAGATCACCTTTCATGTGTGCATAAACACCCCTGAGATCACCTTTCATGTGTGCATAAACACCCCTGAGATCACCTTTCATGTGTGCATAAACACCCCTGAGATCACTATTTATGTGTGCATAAATACCCTTGACATTACCTTTCATGTCTGCATAAACACCCCTGAGATCACCTTTCATGTCTGCATAAATACCCCTGAGATCACCTTTCATGTGTGCATAAACACCCCTGAGATCACCTTTCATGTGTGCATAAACACCCCTGAGATCACTATTCATGTGTGCATAAAGACCCCTGAGATCACCTTTCATGTGTGCATAAAGGCCCCTGAGATCACTATTCAT